TTCGGAAGTGGAAGTAACAACGGGAATTCGAACTCAGGAAGTCACATCAGTGGCCACAACCAAGGCGTCGGTGGTAAGAAAATGATTATTAATGCATTCTATACTCTATTACAATTAGAGAAATATTAGTTCTCTGACTGACCCAGAACAATGTATCAATGTGGAAAAGAGCGCTAGTTGTTAAGTTACAGCATTCTCTCACAAGAATATCATAGTTTTGCAAATTTTTGCATTGTTTTCGATGCCAAATTGCACAGCTTTGTTTATAGCTAATTCAAATACCATTTGCTTAAAGGTTATTGCCTGTACTTTTACATCGAAAGGGATCACGGATTTCAAATCATGTACCGCATCGTTGATTATCAWCCAAGAGACGTCGTTCAAGACTTTCTAAGACTGAATAATAAATATGTTCAAGTCGTAAACTCTCCAAGCGTACTGATATTGAATTGGTCTTTGTATACACTTTCGATAAACTTTGATAGCTTAAGTGATAGCTGAATTTTGATTGCTTTCAAACTTGCGATTTCATTCAATTCCAAGCAATTTGACTTCGATTATTTGTTTTATATACTCCAGAGAAAAGATGCTACTGCAGGAATAACAATAACAATCAAAACTTACGACCCTATACACTTATTCAAAAAAATTAAACGTTGTCGGTCGGAGATCCGAAATCTGAGACCGAAAGGAATCAGGGGTTGAAAGGTGTAAATTGTTTTTGGTTTTAATAAGTAGTTCGCAAAAAGTTAATAACTTGATATACYAACTTTGAACGATGACCTTCACTGGCAAACTGTCTGAGTAAGTGAATATTATTTTTTTTAACGAGAAAACACTCAGTTCCCCAAAATTTCAATCGGTCTGAGATTTCTGATTTCGGATATCCAACCGACAACGTTTTTTAAATAGATGTATTCCCGGCGTAGTTAATCGGTTGTTCGGCAATCGAACTCAATCTTCCAGCTAAAAGATGCTACTCCCCTCAATATCAATAACGTGACTTGTGCAATTCTTAAAATTCAATCTTCATTGACTTTAACTTTTTCTTTATTTTGTTCACTTTTTTAGATACTCCTGCTAAAAGGCACTCCTCGAAGTCGTTTTGATGCACTTTCAGAGAATGGTGCTTTGCAAGCCCTGTCATTAATTTGACATAAATAACAAGAATAACGATAATTCGCTGTAGAAACCGTTATGGGATTATATCTTTGAAACAGAGATACTATTTGAGAGTCCCAATGAAGTTTTTCTTGCATGTTGGGCCGCACTGAAGGTCATCCAGTCCCGTCTGTTCTGAGCGAGCCTGAACTATGGTTAAACTAACCTGCTAAGGTATAATGCTAAGTATAGGATGCTTGAGCACCCATAGTTAACATCACGACGAATGAAGGGCTTGTAGGACAAGCAGTTAACAAATCCTGGACTCTTAACTGGTATCTCTATGTTAAACATGGATAACATTTACAAAAAGATGTGAAATCTTCAGCTTAAATAACGAGTTTAATGGTTTTCATTTTTGTGCTAGTTCATTTAATTTAGATTTCAGAACAATTTGTTTTAAAATAAAGGCTTGCAATATAAGTTTGATGTTGTTTTCTAATTAGCAGGAGCTAAGGATTGATTATATTTAGAGCTTTCTTCAGTAGAGGGGGATGGTCGGGAATTAATAATGGAATTTTTAAAACATTAGAAATCAACCTGCAATAAAAATTGGTACGCTTTGTCGTGATGTTTTTTTCCAGGGGTTAAAAAGGGGCTTCAGTCCATCACAGTTCTATTTCTCGTTTTTTAAATCAGTTACTAGTTAAGTTTTAGACCTTTCAAAGTTATCAAGAAATTAAAATCACGCTTTTATCAGCTTTCAGTTGATGCCCTGTTACACCTTTGAAACGTTATAAGCTGAAACTTGCATGTGCCGGTGCAACTGCATTGCGAGACAAGTTTTATGGGGGTGTTACAAAACGTAATTCAATTCCGTACTGAAACTTTTTCGCGGCACAAGTTCCGGTTGTAGAAGTAGAAAGCAGTTCTACTTATCGAGAAACTTTCTCGCGACGAAAGTTTCACAAAGCTGGGTTCTTACACGGTGCAATTCCTTCTGAAACTCAAGTGTCACATATAAACAGCCGTACCACGTGTCGCATGTAAAACATTCATATCACGTGTCACATATAAAAGAGTCGTATCACATGACACCTTTTTTGAAAATTTGTTCAATAAGCCTTCGTTCAGGAGCCTTCTTCTGGGTAAAAGTAAATCCGTATTTTAAATCATTGTGCATGTACTGAATGTGTTCAGGAGATGTTAGGGCAAGGGTACATGACTGACGAAAGAGATATTGCCAGGAGATTCTTGAAAACGGTTACATGTAAAATATGTGTTCAGGCTATTCCTGGAACATAATGTGTTCAGGAGATATGTTCAGGGTATCCCAACGGACAAAGGGAAACAAGATACACTTTATCAAAGGCGTGAGGCAATAGTAAATATAGGAGATGATCAAGGAATCCTTAGGAGGTTTCCTGAAAATTCAAATAAAGTTCTTCCGCGTGATATTCAAATTTCCAGTTTAAGAAGTTTCTATTGAATTTAGAATATCCCACGCTAATCTATTTCTATTGCGTTACTTAATTGGTTCTGACCATATATGGAATCTTTTGTTTTCAAAATGTCTACCTTAATCTTTGATAAAGGGACAATGGGGGAGTCATCTACTGACTGGATTGGGGACGATAACTTGAGTGTGAAATGTAAACAGGGATTCTTTTGAAGTAAACATTAGATAATAGCTATATAATAATTATAATTAAATAACAACAGCGAAGAGATAAAAAACACTGGTCCCGCATTCATTTTTCTACTTCCCTAGTTATTGTTGCTAGGTTGCCATAGGAACACGAGGATTCAAAAACCTACACTTTATCTATATGGAGTATGAATATAGGCACATGTAAGGGAAGTCCAGGAGATTCCTTAGGGACATGAAATAGAAAGACACCTTTGTGCGTGTATTATGGACATATGGATATGAAAGTGGAATTTAGAGTGATTTACTATTCGCCTCTCACCGCTGTGGTCGGGGTTCGAGCCCCGGCTCAGACTGGATCATAGAGTTAAGAGTTGAGTTTTTTGACACGAGGGTTTTCTCTTGCTTTTCGCGATCGATTTCCTCCCTTCTTAAAAAAAATATGTGGGTTGAGTGTCGGTATGTTGTAAATATACAGTCCTTTGACTAAACGCTGTCGTTGATCTGATCATCCCTACGCGCCTTGACCGAAAAGGATAACGGGTAAATTACCCAGAACTTGCGTCATCCAAACTGCTCGCCAGTTTAAATCTTCGCCGTATGCTCCAGGCATGGTTTTAGCAAATCAAATAAGATTGAAAACATCGAGCTAAAGACGTGTTAGATTACATATGCGGCAGCTAGTAACTGTGAATTAATTATCCCCATGATCCTTTTCGGTCTAAGCGCGTAGGGATGAAGCCGATCAAACGACAACGTTTCTTTATAGGACTGTAGAAATAGTGATAGTGCGTGTGGAGCTGGAAACCTCTCGGAAGAGCCCCTCACAGGGAGTGGCGTTTGCAAAATATAATTTTTTTTTATTCCATGCAAGGGATATGTCTATGGAAAGACATTTTGATGGAATATAGACATAGGGACATGTAATGAAGATAATGGACAGAGAAACACGTAAGGCGAGACTAGCGGGCATGAAGAGGTCAAGAGTGAAAAGATAAGTATCAGTATTTGGATGACAATTATATTGAATTCAATTCTTCAGGTATCTTTTATTTTTAATTGATGCCTTTTTATTTAAACAGCCTCAATGATGTACTTTAATTAATCATTCTTGGCAATCTTTGCCTTACGTTTCCTTGACTCACTGGGGTGGCCTGTACACTGTAGATAAATAAAAATTATCTTTCAATTTCATTTTTAGAAGCAAATCAACTGATTAACTTTTAAAATAAAATGGGAATGCATGGTCTGGAATATCCATTTATTAATACATCCATAGCTGTATACCATATATATATCCGTCTGTCCGCCATCCGCCATCCGCCATCCGCCATCCACCGTCCACCGTCCACCGTCCACCGTCCGCCGTCCGTCCGTCCGTAGACCGTCCGTCCGTACACCGTCCGTCTGTCCGTGCACCCGTCTATTCGTCTTTCTAACCTTCCTTTCATTCATGCATCCACCCAACCCTCATCCAAGGCTCGGTTGCACTATCCCATGTCTAAATACGCATTTAGTGTATTTAAGTTAATGCTCTTATCCACGAAATTTATCCACTCGAATATGTTTATGCATCTAAATTAGAAATATTGGTAGAATTAGGAAGTATCTTGATCAAACGAGCACAGAACGCCTAGTACATGCTTTTGTGACGTCTAAATTAGACTATTGCAATAGCGTCTTGCATGGTTTACCTACAAAGCAATTAAATAAGTTGCAGCGCTTGCAAAATTCAGCTGCCASACTAATAACTAAAACTAAGCGCAGAGAACATATAACTCCTGTTTTACGCCAATTGCATTGGCCGCCTATTAAGCAAAGAATAACTTTTAAGGTCTTATTAATTACTTTTAAGATTATCAACGGTTATGCACCAACATATTTAAACAGTTTATTAGAATCTTATACACCTAAGCGCGCTTTACGCTCTGCTTCTAAGAAGCTATTGATAGTTCCTAAATCATTTACATCTACTTATGGCGATAGAGCATTCTCTATCGCTGCGCCTAAGCTCTGGAATAACCTAC